CAATTAGATTCCTCATCATACTAAGGAATTAGTCCACTCATCCCATCCCTTACCACTGTGGGTTGGATTTCCATTGCTCAGCATCCGGATCAATTTCAAGTGTGTCTTGACTCAGTCGACTCATCCCCATTATGGCGTAAATAAGCAATTACTGTCTACATATATGATTACCAACGGGCCGTGACCGATTTCCTGAAATGATGGTGTGAGATCATTTGAATAAATCTCACAAATAGAAGTCGGGTCGATGTGCGGAGTGGTTGCAGAGAGAGAGACAACATTGTTGATGTTGAACTTCACGGTGGTAAACTACAATTTAGACTGTCACACTACGGTGACGAGTTACCCCTTTTCTCATTAACATTCCATTGATTGGCAGAGATGGCTGTAAGTCGCCTAAATGAAGATTGACATAAGAGGTTACATTTGGTGAAGGAAGATTAATTCCACTGCATATCTTCAAGGTCCTCCTCACAGAACTTGTACTCCTCAGGTTTGCACAGGAAGGCCACATTGTTGCTACAGATTGTTTATCTAGACTAGAGTGATATCAACCTCTATCTAAATTACAGTCAAAATGATACAAGCTATTAGTGTGGAGAAGAGAGCAAATGTAGATGTAAACGTCAAATAAAAAAAAATCATAATGTCAGACAATTTTAGCCAGCAATACCTTATTGGATAAAATGAGCCACAGCTGCATACATTATATTCCTCCATTTCCTCCAGTCCATTCAATTCTTGATCTTTATGTCTACCATGTTTTCAAAATGGTATTGGTCCTCTCGACAACTTTGGCATTGTACATGAGTGAGAGAGGCCAGTGATTAGTCTGGTTGATCTGAGGCTGTGACAGTGTTTCTGATAGGGATTACTGACTGAGGAGAGAAGAGAAGAGATGCTGTCTGACCCTCTTCTCTCAAGGAAATGCATCACTGGCAGTTGGGTGTCTCACTTTCTGTCACGGTTCAGACAGACGACCAGAGGACCACAATTGCGTCACACCAGAAAGTTTATTAAAACTTAAGGGAAAAGGGAAGTAGGGAGTGAATGAAGGCTCCAGGGGTAACAGGGATCCCGTCCAATGTGCTGGGTCTGTGCCCCCCCCAGTGGCAGCGATGCGTCCTATGAAGCCGGTGGTGGGTGGTCCAGAAGTCCTGGGGGGGGGAGACACAGACACAACAGGGCGGAATGAAACAAGGCAGCAGTACAGTTCAAGGGAAATCCAAAATACGTAGTAGCAAGGCAGAAGGCTGGTCAGAGTTACCGGGATTGAAGAGTAGTCAGGAGTCGTTATGGCAGAAGCAGGTCTGGATCTCCTGGGCAGAAGAGTACCAAAATCGGAACCAGGTCCGGGCAAATTCCGGTGAGCAAGCGACAAGCAG